GAGGAGCTGGGTTGGTCTGGATGCAAAGGACCAGGAAGAGGAATGGTTGGCCCCGTTGTCCAGGAAAGAGGCTGTGCAGACCCAAGGAGGCAGAGAGAGGTGAGGGCGGGGCCAGGCCCAGAAGCAGTGCTCCTGGGGACCTGAGAAGGAACTGAGTTGCTCTGGATGCAAAGGATCAGGAAGAAGCAGTGGTGGTTCCCCAGGTATCTGGGACACCAAGACAAGGAATGGGACACGACCCAGGCGAGGAGTAGAGACCAGCAGGGGGAGATGGGAGGGTGAGTGAGGCTGGGGGAGTCAAGGCACGGAGGGCAGGATAGACTTACCCCAGAGAGAGAGGCCTGCAGGTCGGAGAGGCCTGTGTAGGCTCCTGCAGGCCCAGGGAAGCAGTGGGCAACCTTGGTTTTTAATAAAATCCATTTTGTTTCATAGTGTAAGCAGAAGGCTAAGCGTCATCTACCAGCTCAGTTTTAAGACTTTGTAATGAGGAATCCTAAAGAAATCTAGAACTACTGAAATAAAATCCAAGTAATTTATCCAAGACCCTTAAAATAAATATTTTGGTTTTCAGCAACTTAAATTATTCTTCCTCCCACCATTTAGAGTGTACTGTTCTGCCATTGCTGGTCACTAATAATAGTGGGTTCCTTACAAAAAGGAATGAATGGGTCTCAGTTAATACTGATACTGCTATTATCAATAATTGTATTTCTGCTAAATTGGTAAAGCAGAGAATCATATTTTAGAACTTGACATCTAAAGCTGGGTTATCTTTGTACACCCTTTGTTACCTGGGTAGGCTCAATAGCATTAATACTAATTAGCTCATCTCTTTGTATCCCGTCCCCTGCACACACACCCCAGGCTGGTTCTCAATATGGGAAAAGAATTAGAAGTGATCCCTTAATGGGGCTGGAGAGATGGCTCAGCAGTTAAGAGCACTGACTGCTCTTGAAGAGTACCCAGGTTCAAATCCCAACACCCATATGGCAGCTAACAACATTCCATAACTCTAATTCCAGGAATCCAACTCCAATGCTGCTTTCTGACCTCTGTGGGCATTGTACAACACAGGTACATTTACACACATGCAGACAATACATTCATACACAAAAATAAAAAAAATATTTTTAAAAAAGTGATCCCTTAAATCTCTGCAGCAAAGCGAGTGGGAAATGTGCATGTGAGGGTTTAGGCCTGGGAGTAAGAGTTGTAAGCCCTTAACCCTGGGCCATTCTCTAGAAAGTTGAGGAAAAGAGCTTATCCCCTGGCAGAACAGGATTGTGTGGTTTATGTGATTTTGCCTGATTGTTGCACACCCTGCCAGGACCTTCACAGTACACAGGATGCTGACTCCTCATCCTAGGGTCATGGTGATTACAACAGCAGCCTGCACTGCTTGCTTCTGTACCAGGAGCTAATGCAGACATGTGTCATGAATTCACTGTATCCTCACAACCCCTGACGTGAGTACTGTACTGCAGTATCTGTTTTCCAGATGAGGAACTGGCACACTTACTTTAACCTGGTCAAGGTTGCACAGGCATATTGGCTCCACCCTCTGTACTCCCTTTAACATGAGTGCTTACTCCTTCCCGAGTGAGAGCTAAGTTGGAGTTTGCAAACAAGTATAGGGATCCTAACCAACCAAAGGGAGATAAAGTAGAGACGCAAAGAGACAGCCTGCAGGCTGCCATCCCCAGCCCTCCAGCTTTGTGAAGCCTTAGCATAGGCCTCCTCGTTCCTCACCTAGTCCTTGCTTCTTGTTCATCTTCCTCATCGCTCCTCCACCTGAAAGCAACCCTGTGCCACTACCATGCAGATCTTATCATGTCTCTGCTGTTTTCAGCCATTGCATTATATTCCAGAAAAAAAAGACAGTGTTCCATTCCCTTCGGTCAGTCTTGGATCCTAACTGTGACTGGGGCGAGTTCACTTTTGCACATTGCTGGTTCTTCACCAGCCCAGATCTGCTGAGGCAGGCTTTCCAGGCTGGGGCCTGGGAAGCGGCTCTTATTGTAGGCTGCCAAGAGAGTCTCTTACCAGCCAGGCAGAGAGCACTCCGGACATGAAGGCCACAGCTCTGTGACCATCTGCTTTTCTCTCTCCCTTTTGACCATGAGTTCCCTCAATGAGGCTTGCATGTCTGGCTCATCTCCTCCATCCATAGCACCTAGCAAAGTCCCTGGCAGCTAGCCAGCCCTTAACAAATATTTTGAATGCCTGCATGAGCAAATTACAAGGCAAGTTTTCTTTCATGAGGCTTTTAGAGGGTTTAAGAGGATTTTTTAAAACAGGTTTCCTCTAAGCCAGTGAGTATTAATGTGGATTTCCAGTAGTCATGGGCACAGAGATACAGCAGTATCAAGGCTGCCTCCTTCCGTGACCATTTCTCTAACTGTCTCTGTAGGTGGTCGTAGACCTGCCAGCCAGCATGGGAAATGATCCACTTGTTTATAAAGCAGAGCTGCCTGGGATCTGCCAAAAGGGTGCTTGCCAGGTCCTTGCTTCATCTTGAGGGAGAGCAGTTAAGTGTGGTGTTGATGTTGAAGTTACCTGCTGGTTGGTATGTCAGCATCACACATCAGACATTGCTGTGAAAAATATCTCTCATAGCTACTCATGACATAAATCAGGGTGGGCCTGGCGTGGTAGTTCACACCTTTAATCCCAGCACTCAGGAGACAGAGTCAGAGGCAGGTGGATATCTATGAGATGGAGGCCAGCCTGGTCTGCTTAGCAAGTTCCTGGCCAGCTGGGTCTACAAGGAGCCCCTGTCTCAAAGAGAGAGAGAGAGAGAGAGAGAGAGAGAGAGAGAGAGAGAGACAGGGTAGCTTCTCTGGGCATGAAGCAGGGCCAGTGACACCCCACAGAGCAAGACACAGGAAAGGATGGATATATAACAGATGGGGCAGAGAAGGTGGTGGTTCCAGTGGAAGAGGACAAGGGCACAGTCAGAGCAGTAAAGTCCAAATCCATAGACTGGGGAGTTCTCACACTACAACAAGCTTGGTAAGCTAACAAGCTTGGATTCCTGCTTTCAAGGTCAAAGAGAACAGCAGTGTTCTGTTCATGTGTTGCTCTCTTTGGAATTCCTACTGCGGATCTCTCTGTGTGCTGCCACTGGCATGATTGCTCGGAGATTACTCAGCACAAACAGGAAGCAGGTACCATTTTTTCCAGGCTATCTAAGCTACCATCATCTCTATGGAGAAGGGGAAATGTCCTCAAAGGCAAAGTTGCAGTGCTGGGTCACTGCCTGGCAGTCCTTCTTAGACCAATGAAGGATCAGTTTACAATAATCCCTGCAGCCCTAAAAGTTCATCTGTCTGTAATACTTGCCAAGACGATGATGTGAGGACGTATTAATCCTGTGATGTGTTTCCACCGTGCCCATCTCATCATGGTCCCTTTGAAATGACTTGACTCCAGCAGTATTGATGTGTCGAATTAGTGGTTTGTTGAAGTGTTTTCAGTTCCAGTTAACAACATCAGTCAGTGAGACTGGGAGATGGGTTAGTGATTAAAGCACTTGCCCTGCAGGTGTGAGGCCTGGAGTACAGATCCCCAGAATCCACATAAATATCAGGTGGACATGGTAGCCCACCTGTCATTCCAGCAGTAGAAGAAGACAGGATCAAGTTGTTCTGGCGAGCCCTGGGCTCAGTTGAGAGATCCTGCCTTAGTGACTTAGGTGGAGAGTAATGGAGGAAGACTCCTGACATCAACCTCAAACCTACATGCATACACTGGCACACACGTGCACACACGTATACCCACACACATGAACATTCACACCACACATATGAGAGAAAAAGAAAAAAATCAGTTAAAAGGAAAGAAAGTTCTTATTTAGTGAGCCCCTACAGTGTGCCAGAAATTTCCATAGGTGGGGCTGGAGAGATGACTCAGCAGTTAAAGAGCACTGGCTGTTCTTACAGACAACCCGGGTTTGATTCCCAGCATACACATGGCAGCTAACAACTCTCTATAACTCCAGTTCCAGGGGATCCAACGCCTTCTTCTGACCTCTACCAGCATTGCACAACACAGGTGCACTTACACACATGCAGGCAATACATTCATATACATACAATAAAAGTAATAAAAATATTTTTAAAAAGAATTTTCCATAGGTTTCCTTTCCAAAGGACCATGCCCAGGCCTGTTGATTCTGACATTCATCTTCAGTCATTGCTAGAGATCTTGTCTGGTTGATCATTTAACAAGATAACAAAAACATCCCATGTGTGACCCATGGTTATATGTGACCAACTGAAAACAGAAATGTACCAGCTATTACTGTTGCTTTCTTCAGCTTCCCAAAAGAAAAGGTCTGGGGAGACGGCTCAGTGAATAAAGTGCTTGCTGTACAAGGATGAATTCAGATCCCCAGCACCCACATAAAGAACAGGCATGGTGACATGCACCTGTAACCCCAGTGTGGGTGGTGGGGACAGAGAGGCAGAGGCAGGAGGTTCCCTGAGTCTTGCTGGCCAGTGAGCCTAGCCCAGATGGTGCACTTGAGGTTCAGTGAGATCCTGTCTCAAAAGTAAAGTGGAAAGTGGTAAAGGAAAATAGCCAAGTTGACCTCTGGCCTCTGCACAAGTATGTATGCATGCATGTGTGTGCACTCACATGGAAGAAGGAAGGAAGAGCTGCTGTGTGGTAGGCCTTGGTTATGTGCTGAGCTCTATGTCTTGCACACTTCATGAGTTCATGTAAGGTTTCTCCTGGCCTGTTTCCCTGTGCTTACTACCCAGCCCTTTCTACAAAAGCCATTCTCTTAGGGGGTATAATCTGGACTGATCTAGAAAATACCTTCACAGCTTGGAGAACTGAGCACACAAATGCTTTTATCCCATCAGGTGAGTAGATGTTCTGAGATCCTGTTCCAAATAATTATTAAATGCAATATAATAAGTATTAATATACAATCAGTATAATCATTAATATGCAATTAAAATACAATAATTATTGTATAATGTGTTTTTCTTCAGATCGGCCGTGGATTTGGAACATTCCTTATGTCAAAGCACCAGATACCCATGGGAACATGTGGGTGCCCTCCTGAGACAAAGTACTGTGAACTTCGAGTGTAAAACATTGAATCTTCTTGTTGGTGCTAGATGTTCACAGCCCTTAAAGTCTTCTTTGCACTGGTACAAAGCTCTTTGCAAAGGTCCCTCTCAGTTATATATCTGATGTCAGTGTCAACATTCTCACCAAAAAAGTCTTATTTTCTTAATTCACTTATATGTTCTTGAAAGCAAACTATTAAACTTCACCATGTTAAAAATGTGTATGTGCCTGGTATAAAACTACCTTCATAGTGGTGGGGAATCTCCTGATAGTGCCTTCTGAATTAGAGCTTGACTTCGTGTTAAGTACTTCCTCTCCCTCCATCTCCAGAGGTATCTTTCCTTCAACTGCTTCAGGGAAAGAGAGAGCAGGATCATTTGCTCTGTGCACCACCATCCCCATTTCCGGTGCTCCATGTCTGGTGCTCCTGAGATCACTGGCTGAGGCTGGTGAGCTGCTTCAGCCCCTGCCTGGCTACCCTGTCTGAGGCTCCGCATTCAACTCAGCTTCCCAAGACCTCTCATCCCTCTTCAGTGTCCTATTAGCTGCCTGATTCCCGCTGTATCTGACATTACCTATTCCTCACACTAGACTTCTGTCTCTTCCATCACCAGAAATTTCCAGAGAAGACAGCTCAGAGAATCACACAAAAATCATACAAGTATTTTCTGTGGAAGAATCCTAAAAGGTGACCTAACTTGGTGCCTTCATTTCACCAATGGGGAAACTAAGGCCTAAGACCAAGGAAGAATGGCTGCAGGTTACACTGCTGACTGTGCTTGCCTCCTGTACTCCTGAGATGGTTTGGACCATTTTCTTCTGCCTGAGGCTGACTTCTAGTTTGTCACCAGAATCCTCAGCTTATAGTTTCCGAGAGCTGAGTATTAGTTCTGAAAGACTTATAAACCCTTTCAGACTACTCCCCAGAGGCCTAAGACTCAAAGGCACCTTGGGCCTCAGGCTTGGGATGGTGTAAAGAATCAGGAGGCTCAAAAGATAGCACTGCAGGGGGCCCTCCTCCTGCCTTCTAAAAGAGCCACAAAATTAATTTAACCAACTTGTTTCACAGTTAAGAAAACAAAGGCTGAAATTCCATGGTCCCATCCTGGGATTAGGGTGGGTGGTGACTGCACCAATTTCCATGCCTGTAGCCTAAGCCAAGTTATCTAAGATTCCTGTGTACTGGCACTGCAACACTGGCGTAGTCACCAGCACCTGGGAGGAGAGTGTAGTGCTTGGCTGTGCATGCCAAGCTGAGGTTGTCACTGCTCTGCCATTGCTGCAGCTAGCCATCAGGGTGATCCTCAAGTTCCTGCCACTGCTTTCTCTGCTTGCCATCCCCTGGCCACACCCCTGCAGACACAGCAGGGCCTTGGAGGCACACCTGAATGGAGGTTCTGTAGAGTACACAGGAGATAGCACGGAGGTGACATTAGAGACCTGCAGTCAGGTGGTTTACATTTGGTGTCTTACAGGCCTAAGGCCCTCCCAGGAACATGGGCTCTGCAAAGGGCAGGACTGAGCCAGGCCAGCCAGGTACTAGACACAGTTGCCAGCTCACATAGGAAATAATGCCCCATGAATAAGCAAGAATGTGTTAATTGCGGAAAGCGATCAGTTTTACCTATGGCCCTTTTTTTCATGGCACTAGTTACCCAAAGTGCCACAGATGAGCAACAGAACATGCTGCTATTGTTTCTGAGGACACTGTGCTTCCTTACTCAGGGCTGGACCCAGTACTTCCTTCTCCCCAGCTGAAGCAGCCCTCCTTCTGCCTGTGTGGAGCAGTGTGACCCCTTATGTCCTTAATTCCAAACTCCTCTCTTTTAAGTTTCACAGAAACACTGCAGTAGCTTTTTTATACCTCCTGAGGACCCAGCACCGTGTGAAGCAGCCAAACTCTTGTTTCTTTGTAAACTGCCAGCACAGGTTCTGAGGGGTTTCCCAGCTGAGAACTCGAGGAACTGCTGCCTTTACCCCCACAAGAAGGTGCTGTGTTGTTTTTACATCTCCCTTAACCCCCTCTTAGGGAAGTGGACATGTCATTGTACATCTCACCGGGATGTTCATAGCTGGTGATGCATTCCAACAGAATGTGCTGAGGCTGAGACTTGGCGAAGCTGACAGCAGGTGATCTGAAGGAACGTGCCTGCCGTTTGGGCAGAAGGGCTCCAAGTCGCCCACTTGTCATGAAATCTCATGGGAATTCGGAATGCTTTGCCACCAGATCCTCAGGTTGAGAGAGGAAGATAGGGTTTTTAAGATATTTATGCATGATATTAACTAGTCTCAAAGTTCGCTGGCTTCGGAGGCTCTATTTTTCCACGTGACAGAAATGAGTCCTGTTTCCTGAGTTCTCTCTGTATTCCAATTCCTGTGCTTAACAGTCTTTACTCCTACAAGTCCTTTAACGCATTGCCCATCGTACAGAGGAGACAGCTAAGCTTCAAGGAGTTACTCTGCTGCAAGCAGAATATCCCACATGAAGCAATGAGACCAAGACTTAGTTCTGCCACCGTGGCCCCCATGCCTTCCTGCACCACACCACACTACACAGACCGAGCTCCGTACATGTTAGATGGTTTCCCTGAATAGAAATTTTTAATCTTAAATAGCTTTCAAGTGAATATGGTTTATGCATCAGACTCAGTATGCTTAAAATAGGAATCCTAGGTTGATTTTTGTCACAGTTTTTTTTCTCCACACAAAAAAATATTTTCTAGAGTAGTAATACACATATGGTTGATTATGAAGCTATTTCTGAATTACCTAAGGGTTTGGGTTTTTTTTAGTTTGATTTTTATGTATGTGTCTGTGTATCTGTGTGAGTGTATGCCACATGTGTGCAAGTGCCCTGGAGACCAGAAGAGGGTGTTGTATCCCCTGAAGCTGGAGTTACAGTTAGTTGTGAGCTGCCTGATGGGGTTGTGCTGGAAACCAAAATAGGGTCCCATACAAGAGTAGTACAATCTTATTGCTAAGCCATCTCTCCAGCTCCAATCTGTATCTTTTTATTAAAATTTTGGGACATTTGACTTTCTCTCATTAAAGAATTACACAGACACACACACAGACACACACAGACACACACAGACACACACACACACACACACACACATATATATAGAAGTGGTTTTGCTTTGCATTTCCCTAATGACTAACTGTGCTGGATAGCTTTAGTGTCAACTTGACACACCTGGGTTGAAGGAGCCTCAATTGGGAAATTTCCTCTATTGGACTGGCCTGTGGCCATGTCTGAGGAGCATCTTCTTGATTGTTGAGTGATGTGGGAGGGCCCAGCCCACTGTGGGTGGTGCCACCCCTGGGAAGTTATGCCTGTGTTGCATAAGAAAGCAGGCTGAGCAGGGGCCCAGTGGAGCAAGTCAGTAAGCAGTGATCCTCCATGGCCTGTGCTCCATCCAGCTCCTGCCTCTAGGTTCCTGCCCTGAGTTCCTACTTTGGGCTCCCTAATGAACTGTGACCCGAGAGATGTAAGCTGAATAAAGCCTTTCCTCCCCAGTGGTCAGAGTGTTTTGTCACAGCAATGGAGAAATAAACTAGGATACACACACACACACATGTAAGTGCATCATGTCATGCAGTGCCTTCCGAGTCAGAAGAGAGTGTCAAATTCCCTGCAACTGGAGTTACAGATTGTTTTTAGCCACAACTTGGGTGCTGGGAACTGAACCCAGCCAGTACTCTTAACTGCTGGGCCCATAACTAAAGAATTATAACTATAAGCTCTCCTATAATCATTCAAGAAAGAGAACTTGAGACAAAGGTTTATGTAGATATTCTCTGTTTACATGTATAAAATGGCAGTTAAATTGGTGGATTCATGTAAATAATTCATTATTAATTATAAAATGACAGACATAGGAATTCAATGACAGAATTGATATGGCTTAACTATAGTGTAGGGATGAATCTAAATTTGTGCTGATTACATGCTAAATGCATATGTGCATAGAACATATCCCATTATAATCGTTGAGAATTAATCCGTTTAGTAGCTTTGTTACAAGCAGTCTCAGATGAGAGACTACTATAAACCCTTTTCAAGAAGGAAGGGGTTTATTTTGACGCGTTTAAGAAGACACACTGCTAAAAAAAATTTAAAGTGAAAAATAAGAGAGACAGCCCACCATGGTGGGAAAGGTGTGTCAGGAACACAAGGCAGCTGGTCACATTGTATCCAGTCAGGAAGCTGAGTTAAAGAATTTCTTTTGACATTTCTGTCAACTAGTAAGTTATGTTTTCAATGCGTTCCTCTTAGATTCATACACAGGAAATGAGGTATGTCATTTAGGAGCTGGACCAACCATTTGTTCCTGAGAAATGCCAGTAATGACCCAGATGGGAGCAGATGGAACCAGTTTGTGTCAACTGGTTCCTGAGCATTGGCATCACTGGGCTCTGCATTCCAAGAACTGTTGCCTGTTTACTTCCTGATAACCATATCAAAGAGGTCCTCTGATCTCCATTTATAGATGGAGAAACAAAGCAAATTGTTTGTCCAAAATCACATAGCTGGCAAGGATGAGCTCAGATATGAACCCAGCCTGTGTAGTTCCTGTGCAGAATTCTCGGTCCAGGCAACAACTGTGGCAGGTGCTACCATGCTCTAGCCAAGGGCAGGCTTTGTATACATGAGATGTAACTATAGATACCAGACTGTGTGCTTTCATCCACGGCCCTAACAAATCATGGCTGGCATGACAGAACCAACTAGCAGCATATAAACCCAACCACTAAATGTCGCATTAGTATGCAGGACCCAGCAGCTGAATTATTCAAGCCAGCCCTAGCTTCCTGCCAAGCAGTTTCCTTTTCAGTTAGAGCTCAGTTAGAGCATGGAGGGCTGAAAACTTTGCACTGTTGTGTTTGTTCTATTAAGTCCTCTGAAGCCTGCTGTTTCTACTAACTTTCTAGACCTAATGTACAAGGCAGGAGGATTTGGGCCAGGTGGCATGGACGATGCTGGAAAAGAGCAAGCAAGAGGCAGCCCAGGAAATTAGGTGCTGGGATACTGGAAAGCACAGACCTCTTATAATGAGTGACATGTGAATGGGGGTGAAATTGTAAGTCCTGAACAGTCAGAATTCCATATTTTACTGAGTTTGAAGTAGCAGTGTGTCTCAAAGTAGAACCCAATTACTTCATGGCAGTCCTTTATTCTCTTTAGTCCTGTAAGAAGCT